TCTGAAGGGGCAATGACTTTAAACTTCTACCAGCGGTGTGACAGTTCCCATTGCTCCATTTCCTTGGCAACACTTGGAATTGTCAGGATTTAAATTTTGTCTGTCCTTGGGGTGAATGACAGAATCTTTTTATTGATTGATTGATTGATTTTTATTGAGCCCTACATTTTTCTCTTCTCACCTCCCTGCCTCTCCCCTTCCCTTCAACCCTCTCCCAAAGTCCCCTTGCTCCCAATTTACTCTGTCTTAGAATGACAGGATCTTAAAGTTCACTGTAACTTCCCTGATCATACTGAGAACTTTTTCTTGTACTTTTTGGTCTTTGAGAATCTTCCTTGCTAAAGATCTGTTCAAATATTTTCCGAGTGCAGTTTTTCTTGAATTCTCAGGGTTCTTTACATATTCAGGAACGAGCTCCCTGTCAGATGTTTACACAGTCTTCCAGTCTGTGGGTCACCTTTTCATTTGCTCAGCAACCATCTTTTCAATAGCCACAGTTTTACATTCTCATGAAATCCAAATTATTAATTGTGCATCTAATCTAAGAAACCCATTTTGTAAAAATTTCTGCTATATGCCCTTCCTGGTGTACTAAATTGCTTTTCTTTGATTTTTAGATGCATACTGCATTTCAATGTGATTTTTTTGTACATATTGTGATAAGAGATCCTGGTGGATGAGTACATGGTGCGGGGGAGGGCCAATACTCTAGTAGCCTGTTCCACAATTTGGTCCTTCAAACTCCCCACCCCTGACAGTAACCTCTCACCCCTGATCTACAAGCAAGCCCCCAAACTCACTGGTTCCCCGGGATGAATTTTTGTGTAGTTGTTCGTTGTTGGGGCCTTACAAGGATGGGGTAGATATTGTTTACATCTCTCCAGAGAAAGAATTCTTCCCATATTTGTCAAATGCCCATTTGATCCTGACTCTTTGTACATCTTTATCCCCACCCAGCCACGCCCGACTGCCTGCTCTACACAGCCCTGACTCTGGAAGTCTGGGAACAGGGAATGAGACAGTGCGGGCTGAGCTCCCACAGGGAAGTCCAGGCAGATGGACATTTGCTTGGAGATTTCTGTTTAAATGACAAATGTGTGTGAGACCCATTCATGTGTCTACAGCAGAAGTGTGAGGGACAAGGCATCAGCTCTGCAATCATTTCATTCCTGGGGGGTGGGGTGGATGGGGTGGGGCGAGGCATGGTCCCTAAGAGGAATAAGCTAAAACAGGCTTAGGACATTTCAACCAAAATGCAAAAGCATTTTGGGCCCAACCGGGATATTAACCCCATGGCACTTTTCAGTGGCTTCTGGAGGACTAGGTGCAACATTCCTCAAGCATGTCAGGCAGGCAAGAGTCAGAAGCCTGGGAATCAGAATTGGAAAGACTCGGTCTGGGATGGGCAGAGTGCAGAGTGGCTTCTAAGACCAAAATCTTGCCTTCATGCAGGGATGAACTCTTACAGGGCAAGGCGGACGCTGAAACAGTCAGATCTGCAGGAGCTAAGCACCTTGTCCAGTTCTAACTCTTAGAACCGTCCGGCTCAGAGGCGGTTGCCAAGCAGCTGCTCAGGAAGTGGGGCGGGGCCAAGACATCTGGCTGGTTCTGTTTTACCTGATGGGGTGTCTTCTCTGCTGAGTTTTTCTACATTTTGTTCTGTGATCTAGGTCTCAATCTCAAACAAGCAACAGTGGTTGCAATAGTTTCCAGAACAGCAATAATAGTGTGTTACAGACAGAAGGGCTCAGACAGCAGGGCTGTTCCTCATCTGTCTCAGCTGCAACTGCAAGATCAAGGTCCTGGCAGAGCCTTACTCCCTGTGAGGGTGCAGGGGAGGATCTTCCCAGCCCCACCCCTGCCTTCTGAGGGTCTTCTCCAGCCCCACCCCTGCCTTCTGAGGGTCTTCCCCAGCCCCACCCCTGCCTTCTGAGGGTCTTCCCCAGCCCAACCCCTGCCTTCTGAGGGTCTTCCCGAGCCCCACTCCTGCATTCTGAGGGTCTGTCGCAGCCCTACCCCTGCCTTCTGAGCCCAACTTTTAAAAGCAAAGTCCCTGACTCTTACCAGAGGCCGAGCTGGCTCCCTATGGCTTTGGGTTCATACAACCCCAGTTCCCCAGTCCCTTGCCTACACCATAGCCTCACACGTGAATGACACTCCCTGGAAGTTCACTTATCTGAACAACACAGCTAAAAGCCCAAAGAACCAGCCTGGAAAAGCCAGCTGTTCTGCTTGATGGCAATTTTTTACAGCCACCAAGCTGCTGAGGGATGGCCGCTGCCCAAATTAACCATAGATCAAAAGAACGAGCGTGTCTTTCCGGCTCGGTGTTATTATACCTCAGAGCCACTTTAGTAGACTGTCAAAAATCTCAGCAAAGGGAGTGGAAAAAATAAGCCAGGTGCCCTTTTATTGATAGGAAATTACCCTGAAGGGCTGGATGAAGTTGTCTGAGTGGCCCTGACAATCAGGTCACACAAACTTTGGAAAGAGCAGAGGACTTGCTGAATGTTGAGTTTGGGGGAGGAGAAGGAGCTGCCATAGGCTTTGATTTCTGTTTCCATGACAACCCTTTCTTGCAGTGTTAAAGTAGCTTGTTGTTACTTTAACATGTAGCTTAAACCAACTCGAAGGTAACAGTTCATGGTTTGGATATCCAGGGGTCCAGAACAGGTCTCACAGGATAAACCCACAGTGGAGACCCTGGGGAGGAAAAGACTGGTTTTCCCAGTTCCCAGAAGCTTCCTGGGTTCTACGCCCCCATTCCAAGCAACAGCAGTGCCCTTTTATGCCTCACATCCTGACCTCTGACCTTTTATCACTTCAAAGGTCCATTGCCTGCCCAGATAGGCCCAGGGGACCGCCACAGCTCAAGTCCTCACTTCCACCTGTGACATTCCCTCTGACAGCATCTCACGGCCTATGACTTCAGACCTGCGCATCTTTGGGACCCATTAATTTCACCTGCCACAGACGGCAAGGGTTAAAAGTTGATTTTATAAATGTGCAGATTCGTTCAGAGGTGTATGGTAATTTCCCTAAGCATAGCCGGCTGGTAAGTGGATGCTCTGGATGGGATGTAGAGCTGTCCAGTTCTGAAGCTTAAACTCTTGGGTAATATTGTATCCTTCTCGAGTCTTTGATGGAGTTGAAGAATAGATAGTTATAGTTATAGTTTTCCTTAGTTACGATAAAGATAAAATAGATGTAAATATTGTAACTGTAATTCTCGGTTGATAACTGTTTTGTTATATGTAATTTTACTATGTTAAAGCCTTCCTCTTTTTTTTTTGTTTAAACAGAAAAAGGGGAAATAATAGAGGAAGGTCATTGGTTAATAAAGAAACTGCTTGGCCTGATAGGTTAGAACATAGGTGAGTGGAGTAAACAGAACAGAATGCTGGGAGGAAGAGGAAGTGAGACAGATGCCATGCCACTTCTCTCCTCTTAAACTCAAGAGCACACACACACACACACATACACACACACACATACACACACACACACGCACACACACACACACATGTGCAAGCACTCACACAGAATCCCTGCTATGTTCTTCTCTGCCAGGACACAAGGACGTGAACCATAGCCTCACTTCAGGTGACAGGGCGTGCCTTAATCTGCACACATAGAATGGTGGGCACCTGCTGAGCATGCACCATCCTCCAGCCCTGCCAGTCACTTAATGTCATCTGTTTACTCCCCAATCCATGAGGCAGGAATGTGTCCTTATAGAAATGGAGAAAGTGAACCACAGGAACATCATACAATTTGCTTAGAGAGTCACCTGTGTCAGGAGAAGCAGAGCTGGCATGGGAACTCAGATCATTCGTGTTCTGAGTAGAGATGCCAAAATCCCCACCCCACAGATGGAAGCTTAGAAAGGAAATGGAACACAGGCTTTGGAGGACCGATACAGCCTTCATCACCAAAGCAAACTCTCATATATACTGGTTACATGATGAACCCCATTAAAGCTGCCGAATCAATACTAGGAGGGAAGTTAGTCTGCACCAGCGCTGTTAGAAAAGCAGGACCCAGTGGGATGTAGACAAAGCCACTGCCTCCTAGGAACAGAGAAAGCTGTACACAGTGTAGAGATGAGCGGACATTTTCCCAAGCCATTCAAACAGAGGGAATCTCTTCATTCTTTTAAGTTTTCCTGGGTTTTTAAAAATGTACCTCCCTAAGTTGGTGTTGGTTTCTGATAGCAACAATCCCCAATCCCCCCAAAAGAACCCAAACTCCAAGTCCTCTTCTGCTTCTTCTGCTGTCTCCATCCCAGACTGACTGATTTCTGTTGATCAAGGTCAGAATTAGTAGTGGGATTGGAGCAGCCTATAGCTAGAGATGGCTTTGGTGATGCTCACAGGTGGTAGAGCACTGAAAGGTTTTCCCCTTTAACAAAGAGCAGATCAGATCCTTGTTAAGAAGTAGCTTGTTAGAACGCTCCGGAAGGCAAGGAGAAAAACTGAGTCTACCGAAAAGTGGGCAGTGGGATAGGGAATCAGCCTGCTGTGCTGACATCACCCTTGTCATGGAGATCAATGGGGCAGACTGAACACCTGAGCATCTCCTTCAAGGTCAGAACCCACACTCTGCCATGTCAGAGATGTCAGTCCATCCCGCTTTCATTCTGAAGCCTCTCAGGGGCACTGTGTGCCTACAGAGTGAAGCATTGACCACACTCCTACGAGATCACAAATGTGAGCACTTCCTTAAGAGAGAAGCAGCGATGGCTCAGAGAAGCTGAGCACACTGCCCCACACCACACAGCCAGAGCTAGGATTCATTTGTTTTCATTGGAGATGCAAGGAAAGGAGATACAGTGAGCAAGAGCCCAGGTGGGTGGAGACTCATGGAGTCTGAGCCTGTCCCAAAGCCAGACAGGGTCCTGTGACAAGGCCCACCCTCGTGTGACAAACCCTGTTAGTTCCCCTGGGTGCCTGTGTGTCATTTAGCCCCTGGGGCATTCTCAGGAGCCCTCAGTGACTTACAGAGAAGATGGCAGCTAGGGTCTCAGTTCCACCGGTGCTCAGCGTGATGTATGGGATCTTGTCCTGAGGGATCCCAGATTCCCCAAAGATGCTATTGGTATAGAACCAGATCTGTAATACAGAAGAAAAGACATGTTATCCAGAGACCTCAGCCTCCTCCCTCAGTTAGAATAAGGTGAGAGGATCTCTCTACACAGTGCCATTGAGTCCAGACTCAGAGCTGAGCTGTGCCGTGTGGCCATGTGGCTTCCCCTCTTCTTCACTGAAAGACTTCTGTGTTCCTGGGAGTGATGTCTGCCCACCAGAGACATTGTTTCCTAGACTGCCATGCAGTTAGGAGGATAGCAACAGAAATCTCGGTGGGGCTGGCGGAGGCTTCTTATTCTACTTACATTTATTTACATGTAACCAGTGTGTGTATCAGGGGAAGGGATGTCAGAAGAAAAGTTGTAGGAGTCTCTTTCCACCATGTGGAATCCAGGGATTGAATGCAGGTGGTAGTAAGAACCTTTAGAGAATGAGCCATCTCACTGGCAGCTTTCCTCTCCCTCCTGCCCAACCCCATTTTCTTCCTCCTCTTCTTTTAAAGAAACTTTATCAAAGAGGCGCACTCTCAAGTTTATTTTATTTTATTTTATTCTGCCCACTTTCCTTTCTGTGGTCAAGGCTGGCGAACATGATGGTTGGAGCCTCAGTAGTCCTCTCGAATCAGTAACTAACCTTGGATAAGCATGCTCTGTGAGGATCAAAAACTGTTTCTACTCCACAAAACATTTTACTCTCACCCACTAGGAACTGCCCATGGTGGATCTACCACAGTATATACGGTACACACGATGCTCCTGAGGTCTGGGTAACTGCCATGGTGGATTTACAACAGTACATACGGTATACACGATGCTCTTGAGGTCTGGGTAACTGCCATGGTGGATTTACAACAGTACATACGGTACACACAATGCTCCTGAGGTCTGGGTAACTGCTATGGTGGATCTACCACAGTATATACAGTACACACGATGCTCCTGGGGTCTGTGTAACTGTACATGTACAGTCAGGTCCAAAGGAAACTCCTACCCCCCGAGCCCCCAAAGGCAATTCCAATATCCAGAAATGAGTTCAACCTGGACTCTAGGAGGTTCTCTGACTGTTAGATAAAAGCCAGCATTGCTCAGGAGCTTGGTTTACATCTACCAGAGGGAATCATTTCCCACACCCCTGGTATAGGGGACATATGGCAACCTGAGGTGCCTAACATCACATCAAAGCCCATGCTGGCCTCTAGGCTCCCTTAGTATTCCAAGTTCCTCTTACACGCTTTAAGATCCTTGCTAGCGTTCTGTCCTTCTCACCCCCGCCCCAACCTCACCAGTCACTCTTTCACTCCCTCTTATTCTTTCTCTCTGCTCCATTTTCTATCTCTTGCTATCCTGTTATCTCTACTGCTCTTGTCCAGTTTCCTGCTGCCCTAGCCCTGGTCATATCCAGTCAACTTCTTTGCTCTGCTCTGGACTCTTCCAGAGGTCTCTGGCTGTTCTCCCCCCCCCCCTCCTACAGTAAAAACCTTTGATCATATCATGGACTTGTCAGCAGTTTCTTCACTGGGTCCCTTCACATACAAAAACATCGGGACGGCGACAGCTCTTGGCAGAGCCATGGATGCTCACAGCTCAGGCTCAACACTGGCTATGCTGCTCTGATGCCTGTGTGAGGAAGCCCTTGTTTCTAATCTATCTTGTTACAAACAGTTGTTTGAGAAGCTTGTACCCAGCAGCTGGGTAGGTTTGCAGTGATAGGTAATTCTACACAAGGCCTCATGAACACCCAGAGACACAGCTCAAATCAGTTACTGTTCTGATCCTTGCCATCAGTTGGCAGAGATGGGTCTTAACGTTCACACGAAGCAAGGGGACACTGCCCTGTGTTATCTGCCTCCCATTTGAGTGGCTGGGGGAGGTGGGACTTTAGTCTACCAATATAAACCTTGGCTACCAAATTTGCAGGGAACAGAGGCAGCCCCTCACTAGCCCACCAGTTCTTGTGTGGTTGAGGCTACCTATCATTCCAAACCCCCAGTGTCCCTGGATTTGTCACCCAAGCTCCTTCCCCTTTGGGTAGCCATGGTCTCCCAGACCCCATCACGGTTGGATTGCAGACTTGGTTAAAAGATTATTTATTGTCACCCCAACTCACTGTTTTTTAGGGCCACCATGCTCTCTGCCTTCCACTCACAGGGAGACAGACCTTGTAGCCCCCACGCAAACTTGGTATATATTTTCCTGTAGAAGCTTTCTCCACCTCTGCGTCATTTCAGCTCAGAATCTCCCACCTGCTCTTCTGGCTTTTGTGACCCCTCTCTTTCCTAGTTTCCTTTCTCTGTGCAGTGGCACAGTCGTGGGCATCCTCAGCAAGTTGAAAGTCAGTGGTAAGAGTCACTGTGCGTGACATTCTGTATTCACTGTCATGTGGCCATGGAGAGGGCTAAGCGATCTTGCTGAAGGCATTTAGACATCGCTAGACAGGAGCTGCCCTTCACCCCCGCCCCAACCCCAGCCTGGAGCCTGTGAAGTCTGCAGGGCTATCCTGTCCCATTCTGCCTGATCCATGAAGCACCCTGCCCCTACACCTCATTCCAAGGAAGGGGGAAGTAACTGCCTTCGCTTTGACCTCTGTGTGAACTGAAGGTGATATGATTTGACAGTTTCAGGCCCTTGTGACATGAGGGAGGAAGTGTCTAGAACACTCAGAGTCATGGAGCCATGGAGCCATGGCTGCCCCCACCTCACAAAGTCTGCGTGAGCAGCTGCACCCACGTCCTTTTTTGCAGGTTGCCCAAGGTTCCCTCCTGCCCTGGTTCTAACATGCTGAAGCAGCCATGGAATACTTCGAGGGGGCTCTGAGGTCCCTCACCGCTTGGGGCTTAAGTACATAGAACTTGAGATTCAGACAATCAGTGCTCAAATCTCCTTTCTACTGCTTCTAGCTAGAAACCTTTGAAAAAAGTCGCAGTGTTTCTGTGCCCAACAGAGGCCTGAAGGACAGTCAACTCCTGGCCCCACAAGGCGCTATGTGTGCACGCGATCAGGACCACAGCCGAGTGCATAGTCAGGCCAGGGAGAGCAGATGACCCAGGTTGCTTTCTCTAGGTACACAACAGTGAGGTGGGAATCCAGGCTGCTGACTAAGTCCAAAGCTCTTTGTCCTGCGTCAGGCACATGAACTGGGGAGCGGGAAACAGTCACCCTCATGCCTGCAGCCCACCAGATAGATTTTTCCGGCACACCTCTGTGCAGTGGGGCTTGAAGCCACTCTGGCAGAATTCATCCATTACAGGATATGCAGATAGGAAATTAGGTCCTGGTGGAGGAGAAGGATCTGCCCAGCAATGTCATGGCTTTCCATCTAACAGCCTCGTTAAGTAAGAACTCCGCATGTCCTTAAGACTCCAAGTATGAGCCTTAGGAAACAGAGCATCCTTCCTCTCCCCTCAGAACAAGGAGGGTCTGATATACCCAACCTTGAGCCTGTCTGAGGGAGGAAAATGGCAGGATGGGCCGTGGCCACCTGGGCCTAGGCTGAGCTCTGTACTCCCAACTCCATGTTGTTCTTCTCACTTAAACAGACCAAGGCAAAAGGCAGAAATGACTAAGGAGCCGAGTGATCTCATTTTACAGCAGAGTTTCCAAAAATAGAATCTGGAGACGGAGATGCTGAAACCAGGCAGAATGTGTGGCTGCTGTCTTCCTAGGCAGTCGTTTCTCCTGCTGGACAGGAGCCTTGCTGCCACTCCTTCCCCCACCTGAGGATCACCCACACAATAGCAGGGGTGCCGGACTCTCATTGGGCAGGTATAAGGCTGAGAGCTCCATCATCTGGGCTCTTTGGGGGTCCTTTCCACAGCTACCCTTCTCTCTCTCTCTCGCTCCCTCCCTCCCTCTCTTCCTCCCTCCCTCTCTTCCTCCCTCCCCCCTTTCCCTCTCTCCCTCCCTCCCTCCCTCTCTCCCTTCTTCCCTCTCTCCCTCTCTCTCTCCCCCCCTTCCTCTCTTAAATGTTCTCAGTGCTATGTGCCTAGAAGACTGTCTGCATCCTTAAGTGGATATCTCAAGGTGAGGCATCCCCCTCGGTTCCCTAGAAGCAGCCACACTCAGTTTCTTTACTTCTTGGATTTGGGGATTTTACCTTCTGGCACACTGGAGAGAGTTAGAGGCCTGGAGCCTCCAGAGAGGCCTCAGCTCTGGCTCCAACAAGATGAAGCCACACCACCAAGACTGCTTCTATTTAAATCATTTTGGTACTCTGTCCCTTTGTCTTCCTGTGTCTTTTTATTGAGAGCCATGATACTTTATTTCCAGGGACACACAGTAGGACAACAGGTGACAGTGCAAGGGACAACTGTGCTGGCTGCGTGGATAAGTCCGCTCCAGCCTATCCCGTTCTACAGAGGTGGGAAGTGAGGACCAGCAAGTTCCACAGACGAAAGCCTCAGGAGAGGCTTACAGAGCTGGATCTTGAAGTCAGACATGCGGGTCTCACATTCAGAGCCACCCTCCCTCAGTTTCTCTGTTGATACTGATGTGTGTGTGTGTGTGTGTGTGTGTGTGTGTGTGTGTGTGTGTGTTGGGGTGGGGAAGTGTACTCACCGCATTGAGTCCACACAGCTGGTAGCTGGCCATGGTGATAACGACAGTGATGACCTGCCAGCGGACAAAAGGTGCCCTCAGCAGCTCCAGCACGGACACCAGGTGGACGTTCCTCTGCACACGGCTCTCAGCCAGTACCTCCTCCAGCTCTCGGGAGACATCTTCTTTGCCCAGAAACGTTTGGAAGGCTGTGAAGGAGAACCGACAGGGATTGGGGTGTTGGCCCTCTTGGATGCTGACCTTCCTTGGGCCCCACTACCTGGACATACCCTTGTCAGGGGCCTGTGATCTCCCGGAGGCTGTACAAAAACTGTGCTTGAAAATGGGGAGATAAGGGTCTAGAGACATAGCCAACTTTCCTGATGTCACCAAGTGGGCTGAGAGAGAGCCTGGGTCTACCAATCACCGCCCCCACCCCCCCCCACACACACAGAAAATCAGAGCATGCCCAGTATTCAAATCCATCTTCTGGGACAGTCGTCCCATTTATCTTTTATTTACAGTCCTGACCCTCATGCTGGGGGAAAATTGCATAGTATCAAGCATATCAAACCTTGCTTAGAGCTCCCCCACCAGAACTGCTGTTCCAGTGAAATTCACTGGGCACCTTCTGTTTGCCTGGCCCATCCTCACTGAGGGAGGTCAACGGCCACCTGGCCACAAGTTGGCCAACCCCAAAGTTGCCTCTATGGATGGAAGAGGACTGAACTTAATGACATCACTGAAGCCCTTTCCATGTGACCCTCTGGAATGCGGATGTGCTGAGTGTGATAAGTCTCTAACAGGAGAGTGACGATCCACAGGCTCTCTTGATAGATGTATTTCCAAGTCAAGCATTGCAAATCTCTAGCCATTGGAGGAACTGTATTTTAACCCTTGTACAAGCAGACCCCTGAGATCATAACAGCCAGATCACACAGCATGCATTCAGTGCAGAAGCTTGAATATTCATTGTCCTTGATCTTCCCGCTACGGGGGGAGAGGTGGCAGCGGTGATGGCCCCTGTGGACAGTCCATTCCAGACACTGCAGGCAGTGTCCTTAATGACATGGTTCCTACACCTCAAGTGTGAGAAATTGCTCTTTTTAAGTAGAAAAGTAAAGTGGCCAAGCTGACTCCAGATTTTCCAGGCAGCGAGCCCAGAAGGGCTTCAGTGGTACTGTAAGCTGCTTCCGAGTGTCTCTTTGGAAGACGCGATTTAATGCCTTTGCCAGCACCAATTAATGGTACAGGTGAGAAGTGGCTGGATTTCCACTGCACGCCAAGCTATTGTATTTTGAAATTGTTTTCAAGTTCAAGATATAACATCCATGTTGTAAAACAGCCCTAGAGTTCGTGACCATGAAAATATTTTTCTCACCTTATCGGTATGTGTATTTCCATTACAAAATGTGGAAAACTTTATTGCCCCTACCCTTTTACCTTGATAATTTAGTCAAATTATTATTATTATTATGATGCACAGAGTTCATCATAATTTCCCTCTGCAGCCTTTTCCTTGCTGACATCTCCAGGCTCTGACTCTCTCACTCCCTAAACTTTTTCTTCCCAGCATCCCCTCTTGCTATTGGATCTCTAAGTACCCCTCCAACACACACACACACACACACACACACACACACACACACACACACACATCACCTTCTGTCAGCACCAAGAGGCACCTGGCAGAGAACAGCTGCCAGGGTGATGTTTGTTAGCATGGCTTAGATGGTAAATCCAGACCCTTCCCTACAACAGGGACCTCCACTTTGGTACCAAGGACATCTTGGGCTGAGTAGCTGCAGTGGGGGCATTGGTGCATAGTAGGATGTTTGACACTGTCCCTGAATTCTAACTCTAGCTGTGACGATCTAAAAGGCCTTGGGATATTGCCAAGCACCTCTTGGGGTGAGACAAAGAGCAAGAAGCTCCTTGTTCCTCCCAAAGGAACACAGACACACAGAGAGATACACAGACACGCAAACCACACCTGTCCCACCCTCTAGCACACCACTTCCTCCCTTCCAATACAGAACGAATCATCCAGACCCTGACCACTGGGGCCACCTTTTGCTTGTTAATTTTCAGGTATTTGAGCTGCATTTTTCCTGCTTTCCATGATTGCTCTATGGAGCTGTTATTGGGGCTTTAGCTTATTTAGGTTTGGGACTCTTGCTATAGCATAAGACCCTCTCTATGAGAATGTCCACCTGGAGCTAAGCTGTATGGGGGAGGGGATTGAAGGGTGCTCCAGGCAGCTAGAGGAGGGGAACCTTCAGCAGCTGAAGACCATCCTGGAACTTGAGCAGTGCAGACACCCACGGGCACCAGTGCCCATTTCTCTCTGTTTTCTGATTCAGTGCCTGTCCATCTTCTTGTTCATTGAGCTTCATCTCAGCTATCATCTCCTCCAGAGCAGAGCAAGCACAGGAGTGTAGGCCTAGGGTCTGGGGCCTGGGGTTGGAGTGAGGCTCCAAGGACATCCTCTGCTACGGTCACGATAGGGGTGTGACGGTTAGGCTTCACTGACCATTTGACTGCGCTTAGACTCATCTAGGAGACAAACTTGTGGACATGTCTGTGGGGAAGTCTCTAGACTGACTTAAATGGCAAGAAGACTCATTTAGTGGCATCAACCATGGGCTGGAGTCTTGGACTAAATAAAAAGAACTCCAGCTCTCGTCTGTCTGCTTCTCAACTGTGGATATGGTGGGACAGCAGCCACCTCAGGCTTCTGCCGCCATGGCTAGGCCAGCTCCTGTCCTACCTTCCCCATCAGGATGGACTATGCCCACAAACCATGAGCCCAAATAAACCCATCCTTCCTCACGTGCTTCACTTCAGGTATTTCATCACTAACACAGAGGGAGAGACTGATATTTCTGAGACCAGAAGCTGTCAGCCCTCGGGACTGAGTTCACAGTAAGAAAACCCAGCTCTCCAGTCCCATGATGTCTGGGATCCAAGATGGCCTGGGCTTCACATCCTGCCCTGCATCTCTTGTGTGACCCAGGACTAATTAACCACTTCCTGTCTTCTATGCTTGATTCCATGAAATGGAAATAATAAAGCCCATCTTGTCAGGTTGTTTGTGTGATGTGGGATTAGACAGAAAAGGGGAGGTGATGTGGGATTCCCTCTGTATGATGTGAATACCATTGGTTAATATAGAAACTGTCTTGGCCTGTGATAAGGCAAAAGAGTAGAGCTAGGTAGGGAAAACTAAACTGAATGCTAGGAGAAGGAAGGCAGAGTTAGATGCCATGTAGCTGCCGGCGGGAACAGACATGCCAGAACCTTGCTGGTAAGCCACAGTCATGTGGCAAAATGTAGATTAATAGAAATTGGTTAAATTATTATGTAAGAATTAGCCAATAAGAAACTAGAGCTAATGGGCCAAGCAGTGGTTTATTTAGAACAGTTTCTGTGTGGTTATTTCGGGGCTGAACAGCCAGGAACAAACAAACAGCTCCTACAACAGTAGCCCTCATGACAGCTCGAGGGGACACAGAGTGAGTGAGCAAGCTTGCATGTCTTACTCAGGGCCTCTGAGAGCCATGCTGCTGGTGTGAGCTCCATGCTAGCCTGAGGAACCCTCGGTGTGTTGGGCTGTGTAGGGACCCACCAGCCCTATGGCTGTTCATTAGCATCAGCAGGAGTTCAGTTTGTTGGAGACCACTATGGCCCTTGGCTGGACTCTGAATCCTGTGCCAGGAAGTTGAGAAGCAGCTTCCTGTTTTCAGCCTCTTTGAACAGATTCACAGGTTCTCCCTTCCCTAGGGTCACATGCTTGCAGTCTGGAAGAAAGGGCTCTGAAGGCTGTGGGGTAGGCAGCACCTGCACCCTGGGAGATTAGAGATGGAAGAGCTCTGCTTTTTCAGCCACTATGGTTAGTCAACTTTCAGGGTCCCCAGCTTGATTTCTCATTCTAGTAAGTTCTAAGCATCACTTGTCCATTGGAGATTGAAAATGGGGCCTCTAAACGAGAAAGTCTCTGAGCAAACTGACAGAAACCGTGGCCTCATTTGGTCCATGCTTGGAGCATTTCCCGAGTCACTGATCGGTTTGCAGGTAGATGGAGGATGGGAAGCTGCAGAGCCTGAGAGGTAGAATCCCTATTGTGTAATCATTAGGTGTGTCCCCTACAGTGGTTTGAATGTGAATGACCCTCATAGGCTCATCTTTGAACGCTTGTTGGACCCTTTGGGAAGGATTAGGAGGTGTGGCTTTGTTGGAGGAGGTGTATCACTGGGAATACTGGGAGGTGAAATCACTCACAGTTTTCAAAAGATTCATTCCCAGTTCGCCCTCTGCCTCCTACTTGAAGACCAAGATGTGAGCTCTCAGCTGTTTCTACCACCATGCCTTTGCTTGGTGGACGCTCACTCTCCTAAACCATAAGCCCAATTAAAAGGTTTCTTTTATAAGCCTTGGCCATGTTGTTTCAACACAGCAATAAAAAATTATCAAATAACTCCCCTCTGCATGATCATATCACATTTTCACAGGTGGGATTTGAGTTATTTCTGTACTTGGAAAGGCTGCCTGTGTCCTTGACCCAAATGCTGCATGAACTCAGTTGGTGGATCATGGTTGCGTGCATACACTGCTTCTGGCTATGTCCCTCCATGGTGGGGATGCCAGGTCTATGGATCAGTCTCCACCCTTGGGACCATATGTCACTTAATTACCTCCTTGCGTGTCTATCTCCAGACCCAGTCACTCTGTAGGCTTGGGGCCCTGAGGTGAATTGGGGGACACATAGTTCAGTCTGTGGTACCCGCTGGAGTTCTTTTCTGTTGCTCTCATGAATTTCTGAGCCCCTGCATCCTGTGAGGCCAAGTGTGGGTCAGACTTTCAGCTCTGAGCTCTTCCAGATCAGTGAAGTGGTGTCTTGAGCTATGTGTGCCTCACAGACTCAACAGAACTGAAATCGAGCACAGCCTAACTCTGCACTTCAAACATCCCCCATGACACAGCGCCATGTATTTAAAACACAGAGAGCTGGGGCCATGGATGCTGCCCCTTAGTTGTGGGGCCTGGACAAATCATCCCTGCCTTGAGCCTTCTTCCTCGGGCTTGGTGTCTGCAAAGCCCCCTCGTGTCTATGTTCTGACTGTGCAAACATGTGATATACATAAGCCAGGGCTGTGATGGTTCATCTCCACTGTCACCTTGACTAGCTTTAGAATCACCTAGGAGACAC